GGGCGTGGGGGAACCACAACCCTTCTACCTATACCTCTCCGTCCGTTCCTCGTCCTCTGCCTCCCTCCTTTTGCATCCTTTGCCACCACCTTCTCGTATCATCTCCCTCCCTACCCCCTCATCTTTCTCCATCCCATCCTTATCCTCTCTCTGCCTCATGCTTTCCATTCCTTCCTCATCCTCTTTATCCCTCTTCAATCCCCATTCCTCATCCTTTATCTTCCTTCCTCATCTTTTATCTTCCATCTTCATCCTTCATCTTCCTTCCTCATCCTCTCTCCTTTTCTCATTCCCTTTCTTCCTCCCTTCATTCTCCTCCTCCTCCCGCCCTTCCTTTCTCATCCTCTTTATCTCTTCCTGAACCTCCCTCCCTCATCCAACTCCTCCCTCCGTTCCTCATCATTGTCCTCCCTCCCATCCTTATCCTCTCCCTCCCTCTCTCATCCTCATCCTTCCTTTCTCATCCTCTTCCTCCCTTCCTTCCCCATCCTCTTCATCCCTTTTTCAACGTCCCTTCCTCATCCTTCTCCTCTCTTCCTCATCATCTTTCTCTCTTCTTTTTCATCCTCTTTCGCACTCCCTTCATTATCCTTTCCCTCCCTTCCTCGTCCTCTCTCCTTTCCTCGTCCTCTTTCCCCCTTCTTCAACCTCTCTCTCTCCCTCCTTTCCTCATCCTCTCTCTCTCTTTCTTCACCAATTTCATTTGCGGCTGCCTAAAAAAACTGCTGTATGCAGCACGACCGTGCAACGGGAGGGTTCGTAACCTGCGCACTGTATGGTGGCTCGGCTGGCCTTGCAGGAGCGGCCCAAGATGATCATGCACTGGGTGCTCTTCACCGAGAGCACCACCTCCGCCCACGCCGTCGTCGTGCTGGGCCTCGTCGTGGGGCTCTTCTGGATCCACAGGATGCTGCTCGCCCTCGTCATGTTCGCAAACTTCATCGTGCTCTTCTGTAAGCGCTCTGCCCGCAATGGTACTCGTTATCATAAACATCGTTATCATCAACGTTGTTAACATCAACATGAACATCATGAACATCAACATCATGAACATCAACATCATGAACATCAACATCATTCTCATCAACACCATTCTCATCAACATCATTCTCATCAACATCATTCTCATCAACATCATTATCATTATTAATATAGATATTATTATTACTATTCTTTCGTGTCACCCACTTTGGAGTACGTTAATCTCCCCGGGATAAACATGACAGGACCTCGCAGAATAACGAGTAGCGTAGTCCGAGATGGCCGTTAAAAAATTCGCAGTAAATAATAGCCGTCATTCGCATATTATTATTAATATTATTATTTAATGCGAAAACGGCCATCTGAAATCACGCTATTCTCGTTATTCTCCGAAGTCCAGTCATACTTATTCCGGGGAGATTAACATATCTTTGCTCGCTATGAAGAACAGCCTTTTCGGCTGTATCCATTGTTCAAACAAGGTTGTCAATATCTAGATATAAACAATGAGGTATTATGATGATGATGAGGGGTGAAGGGACCATCACAAATACAACCATGCCTACGCAGGATTCGAACCTGCATCCTCCTCGGCACAGAAGACGGCTGCCGCAACTAATTTCAAGCCTGCTCCCAATATATATCTTGTGTTCGCCAGTCTCGTGAATGACCTGGGAGTCGGGCAGGTTCTCACTCCATTTTCGAATCAAACCCCAGAGCTCTCATATAACGTTTGGTATTGTTTTGTCACGCTCAGGCCAGCGGATTCCGAATTCCAAACTCTTGTGTTTTAGACATTTCTTTGCCTCCTTGGTCACGTCATTCTGATACCACGGCACAGCAACGTTCACAAGTGGACGTAATATTTTCGACATACACCGAAAACTCTATCCAGTTTCTTGGTCGTTCAACATCGCAATCCCTAAAATACTTTTCTGAAAGCAACTAAACCACGAAGGTTCAAACCGGATTCAAAATTAAAGCAAACATTTGATAACTCATGAGCTGTTTTTGTGAATATATATTATTATTTCTTGCATCTACAATAACATAACTTTCTTTTAAATAAAATAAGTTGGAGGTGAAAGTTTCGAGTTATGTAACTGCTATATTAAATTTGATGGTGTATTAAAGCACAGTGTGGATGACAGAATTAACTTCAGGATCATGAAAATTGCAAAAGTAGTATATTAAAATCATTATTTTTTATTAATATATATTTTCATTTAATAAGCACACGAAAAAATATAAAAAATCTGTTGGTAAACTTTCATATTATATTGCTACTGCTCTCCTTCTTGCATACGAGTTTGTACTATTAATAAAATAGTGTCACATAAATTTTCAGATTTTGTTTATAAATTACATTTACAATCAGGCTCAATGAATACAATAATGGATCCAGTTATTAAAAAGTGCTTTCTGTCCTGTTTCAGTGATATCAAGTTTCTTCCTCAACATCGTTCAAATATACTACTCTATCCTGGAGTCTCGGGTCCTGCCCGATGTGCTGTTCCGTAAAAATAAGCAAGACATCATTGATGTTGAAGCAGAGGTAGATGGAGAATGAAGAGAGTTTTCAGCTCACAGAACAAGGGCAAATACATTCTAGAGTTTTTTGCTTATTTATATATTGCTTCTGTTGATCTACGAATGACTATCTCACTTCTACCCAGACATTACAGTATGAAATGTCTACCTTCTAATCAATTCAAATTACATTTTCAGGATTCATATACAATTTTACTTCTTTGTCGTCTCACGAATAATTCTTTCAATTGAGTATTTAAATATATGTTATGTAATTGGCTTTTTTTATCAATCATTTTCAATTTTTTTTTTCAAATTTAAGATTTCATATCATACAATATTTTACCTTTACAACATCTTAAACAATACCCTGTAAAATCAGTGACATAACTTACAGAACCTAAATATTTGATTCCCTTGGATTAAATGTGCTAAAAATGATATATTGTAACTAAAAACAATATTAACGAATATATTTGGGTTGAGTGCTTAGGCAGTTGTTCACAGAATCAACAAAATTTTATTTGAATTTTGGAAGCAATTTGTTTTTGCAAAAACATTTACAAAAAAGGACTTAATTTCTTTCTAGTGACCTTTAAGTTTATTTCATAGTGCATTCTTTTTTATCTGGCACAACCAACATACGAGAGTAGAGAAGCAAAGAGGGTAGGAAGGTGAAAATGAAGATGAATAGTGTCAAAGATGCAGTATAGATTGCTGGAGATGCAGAAAGAGAAGAAGAGAATGCTTTGTGCTGTATGTACACATAAACATGATAACAGAGACGGCAGAGAGTAATTAGAAAATGTGAGTGAGAATGAGTGTTGAGTGAGAGTGATGGAAGGGAGATAGTGAGAGTAAAGAGGGAGAATTAGAGTATTGAGAGACAATAAGCAAATTGAGAGTAAAAGAATGCGAGTATTGAGAGAGAGAGAAAGAGAGAGAAAGAGAGAGAAAGAGAGAGAAAGAGAGAGAAAGAGAGAGAATGAATGAGAGTTTTGAGAGAGAGAGAATGAGAGTTTTGAGAGAGAGAGAATGAGAGTTTT